TGGATGATGATACTACAACGGATACGGATGAAGACGATGAAGGTTATCTAGAGGAGGAAACTACTGGTTTGCAGGTAAATTCTATTTATAATATTCTATGCGATCATTGTTCCAAAAAATGATTATACTAATTTTCTGTTGTGGTTTCTATTGAAATTTTGGAATAGCTGGAGGAGAATGTACCTGAAATTGACAAAGAAACTCACAGGCTCGCTATTGTTAATTTGGATTGGAATCAAGTTCAGGTGAGTGGGATTCTTTCTTCTTTTGCTTTCACTTTGTGCTAAATCAAGAACTGTTGAATGTTTATGCAAAGGCACTAGGGTGCCACAGAGACAAGAAACTTGGTATAATTGGTTATTTGTTAAAGTTTACTCAGCTCGCACAAAAAGCACACCACTTTGCAATTTTGAAGACAAACTACATTAATCTACAATTCTACATGTGACATACTAATGATGAGAGTAAAGATAAAACTTTTTGGTAGAAGTGTAGAATTATAAGTAATTGGTTTTCAGACATCAATGTGGATTATACTTTCAGTCTATCAATACAGAACACTATTGAATTTACATTAACAAGTAAATGATTATGGCTTTTCTCAGAACTGTTTATCACTTCATATATGTAGATATGGTTTAGTCTCTCGATGATCTCCATTGATTTCCTCTATATAATCTTTCGATATGGTCAATTTTGTGCATGTATTTTGCTAAGATCTCGAATTTGACTACTTCATTATTTATTTACTATTATGTTATTTTAGACTTGTATCTATTAGTTATGTAGTCCCTAAACATTGCACTTTTTTTTCTTCTTTTGTAGGCAGTTGACTTGTACGTTGTGTTAAGCTCATTTCTGCCAAAAACAGGGCAGATTTTGTCTGTTTCTGTATACCCATCTGAGTTTGGACTCAAGCGTATGGAAGAGGAGGCAGTGCGGGGTCCAGTTGGTTTATTTGATGATGATGATGGGAAAAGTAATAGTGACAACAGTGATGATGACAATGAGATAGACAATGACAAGTTGCGTGCTTATGAACTAAGTAGATTAAGGTAATCAAATCTTGGTTGTTCAAAGCTTTAGAAAAGAGTTAAATGCAAGAAGTATCATCAATTCATCATACTTTCATTGATATGTTTGTCATAACATCCTACTTTCATTTCTTCTAATAAATTTCTTCATATTAGAGCATTGCATTTATAGAAACCTACTCAATCATAGCATTATTCACTTCTATAGTTACATAGACTTTTAAATTGTAGAAAAAGTGAAAGTAGGATGCTATATTTGGACAGAAGGAACACCCTCTCAACTTTTTTTTTAATTTTTTTTTTATCAGGTACTATTTTGCAGTGGTGGTATGCGATTCAGTTGCTACAGCTGATTACATTTATAGAACTTGTGATGGAATTGAGTTTGAAAGGTCATCAAATATGTTGGATTTGAGGTTTATACCTGATTCTATGGAGTTTAAACATCCTCCACGTGATGTTGCAACCGAGGTATTGTCATTTCTTCCTTTAATCCTATAATCCTATTACACCATTGTGTTGTACTTTGAAAATATACTCAATTGTAGTTATGTAATTTGATAGATTTTTGTAAGTATAATTCCCTAAGAGCTTCTCCAATGGTAAAGTTATACTATGACTTCAAATTATTGTCACCTTATCTTTCCATTAACTTTAACCTCTAATTAAATGACCTCTCAAATGGTTAGCCTTTTCAAATACCTTTTTTTCTTTTTTTGATTAGAAATAATCAATCTGCTACACCTCTACTCACTCTCACTTATTCTATAGGAGCAATAAAGGAGATACAAGCAAGTAGAAAGAGCATCTTTTAGTGGAGGGGTAAATTAGGTATTTTTACTAATAGAGTTTGTCATGTCAGATAGTATAAGAGTGTAGTGGGTTAGGAGAGTGGATCATCATCTTTTGTGAGAAATCTGGTATTTCATTCCCAGAGAGTGGCTTCTTGAATTTGCCAAACTATCTTTTTTTTTTTTTTTTTTTTTTTGTTATCATTTGGATATTGTTTAGTGTTTTTAAATCAATACAGTGAATAGTTTTGGGTTCTTGTTTGTTTGATTTTTAAATCCAAAGTCAGTTTTTTAAACACACAACATGTTTTATAGACATTGAATGCCAAAACAAACGAAAATAGAAATAATTATACCGGGTTTTTAGTTTATAAACGTAAAATACAAATAAATCAATACGTCATAGTTATAAAAAAAAGTTTAAAATATTATATAACCGTTATAACTCTATATCTCATAAATAACGTGTCATTAAATACTTGATACAAATAAATAACTAATAATTAAATAAATAATAGTTAAAACTAAAATATAATTAAGGGGTAAAATGAAATATATTATAAGAAGACGAGGGATAAAATATAAAAACACGAAAGTATATTGATCACTCGAATGCGATTGATTGCTTATTAAAAAAAATTGAAAAAGTCCCCATTGGAGATGTGAAAAAAATTGAAAGTAGAATTTTGTAATAGAAAGAAATGAAAGTAAGATGCTGTATATAATACACACATAAATGAAATTTGATAATCTTTTAGTTTTAATGCTCCCAATTCATTCCCAAATGCTTTTTTGTTTCAGGCTCCAGCAAATTATGAAGGTGTAGATTTTCAAACTCGAGCATTGCAACAAAGTAAAATTGATCTTACTTGGGATGAGAATGAACCCCAACGTTCCAAGAAGCTTAAAAGGAAAATTAATGTTGATAAGGTCTGTAAAATCTGTTTAATTTTATATTTTCTTTTTGAGTTTATTGCATTTTTTGGCCATATGGTTAGTTGATATTTATAGAAATGGTCCCTTTTTTTTTACCCTGAAAAGTAACATTTTTTGTCCCTGAGCCGCTTAACTTAATTGTAAAATGACAAATATGCCCTCATGTTCTTTATCTCTCAGCCTTCATCTTTGTGTTATGTTCAAGAAACCCTGGATTTTGAAATCAAATGTGAAGTTAAAAGTTTTAACTACACATTTGATTTCAGGTTTTTTGAGAGATGAGGGCATATTCGTCATTTTACATTAAAAAAACAAAATTCAAAATCATAGTCATTACTACAATCAAAACAAAGAAATTAGCTGAGCCCATACTTGGAACATAAAGATGAAGGGGACGAAAGACGAGGGCATATTCGTCATTTTACATTAACTTAAAGTCCAACCGTTAAGTTCAATCACTCTAGGATGAAAAACACGAGAAAAATACTTTTCAGGAACAAAAAATACGATATCTGTAAAAATCAACTAACCACAGGGGTGAAAATGTAATTTCCCCATTTCATTTTTTTAAGATGATTTGTAATTAATGATTCATAATACTATGAAGGAATCGGAGTATGTTAAGGATGAAGAACAATTAAAGGAATTCATTGCTTCAAGTGAAAGTGAATCCGAATCAGAAGAAGAAGATGAAAACAATAAAAACCACGGAAAGAGACAAAAAACAGACAGATATCGTGCTCTACTCCAATCCGGTTCTGATTCCGATTCCGACAAAGACGACACCGGAATGGAAATGGAGGTCACTTTCAACACCGGATTAGAAGATCTGAGCAAAAAAATCCTCGAGAGAAAAGACAAAAAATCCGAAACCGTTTGGGAGGCTCATCTCCGCAAGCAAAAAGAAAAAAAGAAAGCTCGAAAAAGCAAAGCCATGGATTCCGATGACAGTGATGATTCCGGCCGGGAACCCGTGGAGGAATCCGGCGACTTTTTCGCCGGAGATGCCGATAATAAAAAAGATAAAAAAGGTAAAAATTTGGATAAAGAAGGTGAAGCGAGTAAAGAAGAACTTGAATTACTACTTGGTGATGATGATGGAAATGTTAAAGGGTATAATTTGAAACGGAAAAAGAGTAAAGGGCAAAAAGGGAAAAAAGAAGGTATGGATGAGGAGAAGATACCCACCGTTGATTATGAGGATCCACGGTTTTCATCTCTTTTTACCCGACCCGATTACGCATTGGACCCCACGGATCCTCAATTCAAAAGGTACATTTTTACTTAAAAAAATATATATTTTGAAAAGTTTTAGTTTTTTACGAAACTGCCCCTTATGCTATAACTGGTGTTACAGGAGTGCGGCTTATGTGCGTCAAGTTGCACACAAGCAACATAAAGGTGATGTGGAGAGAAAGGAGGAGGGAGATCATAATAATGAGTCATGTGAAGAAATTAAGGCTTCAAAAGTGGATGATAAAATTGATTCAAAGAAAGATAAACACGAGATGTCAATGCTGCTCAAGTCTGTTAAAATGAAATCAAAACAACTCCCGTTGTTACCTTCCTCTGATGCTAAGAAATCCAAGAGGAAAGGGAAATAAAGGCATAAATTTTGATGGGATTATTGTTCGTGTCAGATCGCTATTCAATTTTGTTTTTTTCCCTTTAATTTTAATGTTATGGTTATAAAGTTTTGTATTCCTTACCATATTTATTTGTTTTGGATTCATTTTTAGAGAGGTTAATTGCAAAAAAAAGATAGAAACATAATATTTATTATAGCATTCTACTTTTGTTTCTTATTACAACATTATATTTAAAAAAATCCATTTAGTTATTTCAAGGTGTTGATAAAAAACAAATTGAAAGTACAATGTGATATCGGGTAGAATTTTAGAGTAAAATGATTTGAATACTAGTGGTCGTGGATTATAATATTATATTTTGAAAAATCTAAAAGTGTTTTAAGTAGGAGACAAGGGATATGAAAAAAATAAATTAAAAGCACAATGTTGGTAATATGGAAAAGAGTAAGATGTCATTGTACATAAATAAAAGTAGGATGCTACAATTGCATCAACTTGGAATCCAAATAAGAAAAACATCATATTTTATTAGTAGATGTAAACCATAATCAATCTCAACAATCAAAACTATATATATACACCAAAACTAAATAAGAATCGAAATGTATCTCTATATGTATGTGATATGATTCTATACTCTATACCGTGTATCATAGCATGATATACATAGCATGATATACCAATGTAACTCTACAAATGGCAAAAAAAAAGAATTACAACAAAACCATGAAAAAATTGGCAACAATAACTATGAAATATGTATACGATGATGTCATCAACCCATATGCGCCATTTCCTGGCTGCATCTGACTCGAGCTCGGTGAACCGTTCCTAGCCGTGGCCTCGGGTCCCACAGACATAGACGGTGAACCCTTGGGTGAGGCCCGTGGACTTATTGGTAATGTATTTGATTCTATAGCATTGTAACCTAAAGATAGAAACCATCATATGGTTAATCATTTAACATAATGGGTAAAAGTAAAAACAGTTATATAATAAGTGTTAGTTAAGATTTACTCACAATTAGAAGGTTTCCAACCCAAAATATTCTTCTCGCGATCGAATACTACTCGATACCCCGTCATAAAGTTTTCTGAATAATAATAAAAAAAAACAATGTAATATTTATATTATATCTATAGGAGCGATCATTCTGTGTGAGTTTGTCACTCAGAATGATCGTTTAGTACAGTTGTAAATCTTACAACTGTACTAAAATAAATGGAAGTGGATCACGAGGGTTAGGTTACTTACGTCCAATGATATTTATGTCGTCGCTTTTCACGATACCCAAACAAAGCACGGATCCACCATCCTAAATAACCACAATAACCCGATAAGTTTAAAATTTAAACGAGTTAAAATAGATACAAGTAAAGAAAATATATTTAAAAAAATTGGTCTTACTTCAAGAGGAACATTAACGAATGGATTGGTGATGGAAAACAGGTCTCCTCCTTTCATTGTTAGATTCAACGGTGGCGCTTCAAACGTCTGTTGCCCCGGACTGCACAAAACAAGTGTTGTCTGGATAAATGATATTTGAGAAAATAACAAAAAACTTCGGGAAACGAAAGTAAATAATGAACAATGGCAAATTTGTAATTAGGCATGACTTAATCGGGAAAGCCTCGTTTCTCTAGCTTTCTGGCTTTCTCTATTAAGTCGTTCTTTCTGTACTGACCTTATGTCGTAGCAATACTCGAAAGGAAGGTCACTTGGTTGACTCCGAGTCTCTTCTGTTTGTGAAGCAAACTGCAAAAACAAAATAAATCATGCGAATAAGTCGGATTTTTTTTTTTTTTTTTTAATTTTTTTTTTTTTTTTTAATTTTTAAGTACAATGGTATAATAGAAAGAAATTAAAGTAAAGATACTTACGCTTTCACTAATAATCGAGTATGCGGGATCATTCAAATAAGTGAATGAAGTGCCAGTGTCGAATATCGCGTTGAAATCAACATTTGTAACATTGTCTCCCACGACTGTTTGTGTCATGCTAATGTTATACGTTCGACTAGTGGATAAAAATTTCATGGATTAGGGTTTTGTTTATCATACCAATTAAGGTATAGAGTAGAATTTTCAAAATTAATGTCTTAATATACTCAAGTAAACAAACTTACTGAGGTGTATCAAGATTCAATGGTGTTTCTCCTTGATCCAAACTTCCTTTATCTCCAAAATTAATTCTTCCAGCTCCATCAGAACCAAAACACATAGAGAATGAATTAGCAGTAAGACCATTACTTGCTAAAATACTAGGAACCGACATGTTCTCCATTCCAAGCCCAAATAGCCCATTTGGAGCTGCCCCATCTAAAAATGACCCCGTTTGGATCATTCCACACCTAAAAATTCAAATAGTAAATGACATAAATACCCTCCTCCTCCTAATCATCATCATCATCATCATCATCATCATCATCATCATCATCATCATCATTATAAAGAATAGATACGTACCCAAACTTGATCTTTGCATCAACGGCTTTCAATGAAGTGTCTTCTGTTGTTAAATGTAAAGTGTCTTCTATCAAGATTCCAGTTGATGAAGTGTTACTTGAAAGATAATTGACTTGATATGGACAAATTTCGGGTCTTGCTGAACATTGTTTTCTTAATCTACACGAACTACTATCACAAGGAACTCTTGTACTTGTTGAAGACGTATTTGGGCTGTATATATTGAAATCAAGCTGCTAAGAGAATACACAATCATCACCTTTTGTTTACTTTTACTTTTACTGTTACTGATACGATAAAAATGGTGATGAAATACGTACTCTTCCTGATCTTGTGACTAATCCTTTGACACAGCTTCGACAATCACAAGGTATCCAAAACAAGTCGCTTCCTGTGTCGAGTGCGACGAGAAACCATAAACTTGGAGTTCCAACAGATACGTTTGCATAATGCAAGCTGCAAAATTTCCCACGAGATTTCAAGAATTATGTGTATGAAGTATGAACAATCAAGAATTTGGTTGTTCTTGGATTTTGTTCGCTAATTTAACAAATACCCAATTCGAATTTAATCTGATCACATCTCGGAATTCCCCAAATTAAAGTCAATAAAGTAGGGATAATTTGTCATCGACATTAAAAGAATTCAATTATTGTATTCAATTTCAATCTATGGTGAAAACGGAAACAGAATCGAAGGGAGATATGAAGTCAATAAGTAAAGATAAACAGAAGAGAAGCCTTACAATCCGAGAGAAGGAAGCTGATAAGTTTCATTGCCGTCAACAAACGCTAGAGAGGATTCGACGGTAGCGTCGCCGGCGAGACGGCGGCGATGGAAGAGACGGTCACGGTGGGCCATAGCTGAGTAATAATCGACTGAACCCATCTGAGGTAGGTGATGATCATCAATATCCAAAATACCCTTCACTGGATCAGAGTATCGATGATGTATATCGAATCCAAAGGTCCCAAAACCATGGATTAATCTTGAACCCACAAAAATCAATCCAACGAATACCAAAATCAAATTAGACCCAAAACCCATTTCAAATAATCAAGAGAATTTCGAGGGAGTTAATCGCATAAACGAAAAGGGAAAAAAGAGAACACCCAGATGGAAATTGGAAATTCTCTTTTAACCGAAGTATGAAAAACTAGAAACAGAATAGATCTTTTAAAGGTGACATGTAAGTATCTGTATGTGTATATGAATCATGTATGTATATAGTTTTAGGGAGAGAGAAAGAGAGAGTTGCTACGAGTGTAAGCGAAAAAAAGTAGCGAGTCTTTTCTGCCGTCTGTCTGTGTCATGACTCATGAATATGAACACGAAAGCAGAAAGCAGAAAGCAGTTTTTATTTTTATTTTTATTTTTCATTTTAAAATAATTTTCCACATTTTGCGGGAGAAGAGGAAAATGACGGTATGTCGACTTTCTCATTTGTGTTTACAACTTACAACCACGGAATTGACTTTTTCTTTTATCTGAATTAATGAGTTATGTAATAAATTGAGGCTTGAGAAAAAATATTATTAATTGTTTTAAGTGATTTGTATATAAAAAAATTATATATAATAATTTATGTTTTATATAGTGATATGTATTGAAAAATTATTGTGTAATAACCAATTTCCTTATTATCTTATTTTTATAGAAAAACTCATTTATATTTATAAACGCTTTTAGAAAAGCCGTTATATGAATAATTTTTTAAGAAAAAAAAAAACAATTTGACCTGATAAAACCAGTTAGTAGGTTTTAGAAGTTTAGTTAACAAATTTTATTGAGGTCACATTCATGTGACAAATATATGGCTACATAAGCAAAATCGGGTATATCAAACAGGTTTCTCCTTTTTCATTAATCGGTTGACACCTTTCTACAATGAATTCTTCATTAGTTGGGAACCAAGAAAACTTGAGATGAAATTACAAGTGTGGAGTTCAAGTAACAAGATGTATGTCTTGGACATATTTCAACCGATACAAAAATTTTTATGGGCGCCATAAATTTCAAGTAAAACATGAAATTGTTTAAATCTCAAGTTAGTTTCGTAATTAAGTAGGGTGTTTTTTTAGAAAATAAATTTATTCCTTTAATATGCACGGACACATTACAAGAAAAGAAGAGATTGTTTGTTTTTTAGAAAACAAAAGAAAAGACTGTTCACTCCTCCACCCTATTAGCCTATTATCGGAAAACAATCTCGTGAGGTACCGATCTCTCTATTCTTCCTTCCCATCTTCTCTCTCTCTCTCTCTCTCTCTCTGTGTGTGTGTGTGTGTATTTTGTTTGTTTCCATTTCTACAACTAAAAACCAAAATGAAACCCTTCTGTTGCTGCACCATCAAACTATAATCATTATTTTATGCAATAGTATTTTCGCATTCGAGATTCATTCAATGATTGTTGAATCCGAGAAGTTTGTAAGTATGGAAGTTGTAAATTTGATCTCACCTGGACTATTGTGCCCATGGTTTGCCAAATGATGTTGTCGATTGCTCTTATGGACTTGAAGGAGGTCTTGAAATTATACTATATGATATTACTAACATGTGATTATCATTATTAAAGTGTTTTTCTATTCTTAGGAAACCAAGTTGGTATTGGTCGGGAACATCACAATGATTAAAAAGGAGCAACACTGGTTTTATGTTATATGTGAAAAATATCATTGTAGTGTTGAATCAAATGTCATTGAGAGTTTCAGCATCGAGGAGAGCAAGACTTGGGAGTGCCCATTGTGTAACACGTTTGGATTTGTTTATGAGTACATGTAACATTTATTTTCTAATTTTTAGAGTATGTCTGATTTTGCAATGAATAGTCTAACTGAAATGTGTGTGTCACTTATTGTTGATATAAGATTCTGATGGGGTTTGATAGCTAAAAACAATACGTTTTACTTAAAAACGGCAACAGAAGCAATTTTAAAATAAATATTATTTTAAGATAATTTTAAAACAAAACCACCAAGCACACGCAAGACTCAATAGGGGCCAGGAGGGGCCATGGCTCATCTGATTTCTTGGCTTCTTAGTACTAGACACTAGTATATTACTCGATCTAATCCCTTGACAAACCGAAACAACAAAACTTCATTAAGGAAACTAATTAATTCCATAAAGAAACCAAAAACTAATCTAAATACCTCATTTACCACTTAATAACTTAATCATCTCAAACGAAACCCTAAAATATGTAGGCATTTGCTCATGATGGATCACCATTGTAAATCAGTTCTTCTTTTGCTTTTGTACGAGTTAGAGAAATGGGAATCAAGAAGAAGAAAAAAGTCTTATTGCTTTTTGTTTTTGACTATATGAAAGGAGATTATTAGATAGAGACTAGAGAGTGATATATGTTTTCATATGTTTCATTTTCAGATTTTTCAGAAGGAATATAGTATGCTAGTACACACTCCTTTTGCATAAAAATTCGATATGATACCTTTTGATTATTAATCTCAATTTTATTTATAATTCTCATATTTATCCAAGTAAAGAGTGGTAGTGTGTCAATTTAATAGGTTTGATTTTAGCGAAAAAATTAAGAAAAAATAATTAATTCCAACACCCAATCACAACATTCATTTCCACTTTCTGTCTCCTCTTGCTACTAGCCTAGCGCCTCCTTTTTAGCGACTTGCTTAGCATTTGGTAAGGGGTGGTGTGTAGCACTCTTAGTATCCCTTAGCATCTCCCACTCCCTATGGTGTATTGGAAGAATATTAATAGGGTGATGGTGGAGAATTAGATTCCAAATGGATCATGTAAGGTCACTTTCCGAACTAATATTTCCGCCCTATGCCCGAGTTACTGGAAATCCACTATAGGATAATCCAAAATGACACTCACAAATCTAGGAATAAGAAGGTAAGCCAAATCACTAGAGAATTATGAGTTTATTGTAGAAGAAGAAGAGCTGAGAAAGGTTCTCATAACTACTCAAAAGAAGAGCCGTTTTTATACTTTGACAGATTAGGGTTTTTATCTTCTGAATTAGTTACAAGAATCTCGAATTTAATGACTTAATAAATGGTTTGCGAAACTGACTAGATTTGTCAACAAACTCAGAAGTGAGACCACCATGAGGGGCTCTGCCCCTTGGACTCCGCTAGGGGCGCTGCCCCTAGGTCCCTTTCAAAAGGGAGCGCTTCCCTTGATCCCCGCTATTCTGTCGTAACGACTTATAATATGATCTTATATATGTATGCACCCCTCTTTCGTCGAACATATAATATATAATACAAATAATAAGCCCCTTAGCCCACATGTTAGTTCCAACTTCCAATTACCCACAATACATGGTGACACTAAAATCACCAACAATCCTCCCTCATTTTAGTGTAACCCATGAACTAACATAAAATTATCTAAACAAACCAAACCAATACATAAATAAAAATATCAAAATGATTGAATTCTCATTTTAGTATCAAACAATTCAAATACTCGAGAATAAGGGTGTTCTAATAATTGAACCCTTCAACCCAATTTAATCCCTGAAAGTAAAATACATACTAGTTTATTGAACTTTCTAGCAAAATTCAACTTGATACTATTATAAAGTCGTGTGTCCTAATCGTCTCATGATTGTATGAATGCCAATTTCCCAACCTATTTAAATGCAACCACTCTTCACAATCATGTAGGTAATTCCTTTACTTCATGTATCTGTACATACATTTTATCAAAGGAATTATTAAGAAATTAATCTTCAACCTGGTGAACTACAGAATTGAATATATACCAAGGATATATACTTTATGTGTTCCAATCTATAAATGTGAGCTTTCCACATTGAATTTAACTCCTAATGTCGTATTAGAAGGGAATTGGATGTCTCACCATTACAAATTTAAATGGACTTTAATCCCATCCCTATAACAGACTTGTGCACTAAGTCTTGTCAGACCTTTAATCAAGTGATCTACCAAATTTTGTTGTGATTTCAAAAACTCTACCAAAGTCACTCCATTCATGATTAGTTCTTTAATCATATTATATCTAACACGTAAGTGTCTAGACTTTCCATTCCAAACATGGCTGTAAGCCTTAGCCAAGGCGGTTGCAATATCAAAAAGGATACAGATGGGTGTTATTAGCTTTGACTACAAAGGAATCTCATAGACCAAATTCTTTAGCCACTCCACTTCTTTACCATCAACTACTAATGCAAGAAACTCAAATTCCATTATCGAGTTTGTAATGCAAGACTGCTTCTTGGAAGCCTAAGAAATGACACACCCCACACATAAAAACACCCAACCAGTAGTTGAGGAATGATCCTCCATATTGGTTATCCAAATTACATCCAGATGACCTTTTAAGACCTAATGAATTCCCAAGTAACTCAATCCATAATCCATGGTTCCCTTGAGATATTTAAACACTTTATTAACCGCTTGACAATGTTGTGCACTAGGATTACTAGTGTACTTGCTCAAATTTCCCATAGAAAAACCAATATCAGGCCTGGTACTTGCCATTGCATACATCAAACTACCAATAGACTTAGAGTATTCTAATTATGAAATAGGAATAACGGTTTTAGGAATTAATTTCAGACTTGAATCCATAGGAGTGCTCACAAGAGAGCAATCACTAAAATTGAACCGTTTGAGAGTTTTCTTAACATAATGAATTTGAGTCATTACTAAGCCCCTGTTCACCCTCTTAATACTTATACCAAAAATTACATTAGCCTCTACCAAGTCTTTTAATTAGAATTTAGATGACAACAATTGCTTTGTTTCATCTATTTGATCTTGGTTGGTACCAAAGATCAACATGTCATTTACATACAAGCAGATGATCACTCCTACACCATTAGCATCATTAAATCTATTATAAACATATTTGTCACATTAGTTTAACTTGAAACTAGAGGAAAAAATAACTTCATCAAACTTTTGATGCCACTGTTTGGGTGCTTGTTTCAACCCATATAAAGATTTTACTAGTTTACATACCATATGCTCTTTACCAGGCATAACGGAACCTTTGGGTTGTTTCATGTAAAATTCTTCATGAATTTCACCA